TTTGATTTAAAAAATACAGTTTTTTATTCTTAAATAATTAATAATTAAGTTGAATTACTTTTTTTTATTTCATTTTATATCTTTTATGAATTTTGTAGTAAAACTTTTTTTTTTTTTTTCACTTCTTCGCCGACATAACAAAAGATGAAACGAAACACAGACACAGAAACGAACTTGACTTAAGAAAGCCTGATAATTGAAAAATAAAAGTTTAAGTATACTAGGTTGACTTTATGTAAAATATATGTTTTTGTTGCAAGGAGAACAGTTGTTTATCAATATTAAGAAATTGAAATGTGATTACTATACATTTATCAATAAAGATTAAAACTAATTTGTAACAAGTGTTCACCTGTTTTAAATACCTGTTTAGTTAAATGTTCACACATTAGATAATTGAAGAAAAAAAAGCAACAAATTTAAGCTAATTCATTAGTTGTCAACGTAGCTAAGGCGAGCGGAGTACACGCGCCGTAAGGTCAATATGCCGCTAGTGTCTGTTGAGCAGCCCAAGGCGTAAACCACCGCAAAACCAGCTTATTGGACATAGACCTTTTTATTGTTAATAATAATAAAACTAAAAACAAAAGTGGAAGTGGAATGGAAATAGATACAGCACCTTTTATAAATAAGTTTACAAATAATAGTATATAGTATAAAAATGTGTACACAATATTTATATAAAGCTTGGTTTCAAGCCTTTTCTGCATTTGTGCTGAAACTGTTTTCTAAATGCCTTATAATGTATCCTCGACTTTGTTATTATTTGCTTGACCGATTTCATAAAATCTCAATGCCAATCATAACCAGCAAATATGTACGTACATACATATTTACCATACATATACACATATATATATATGTAAATATAATTGATTTGCTTTTAATCGATATTCATTAAGTCTCACCTACTTTTTGAAATAACATTGCTGCAACCGCTAATTAAAGCGTCCGAAGTGGCTATAAACGAAAATTTATGCATTTTGTTTTATGGGTGTTTTGTTGTTTTTTTTTTCTCTTTGGCTGCAGAGAAACTAGTTGTGGTGAAAGTGTGCTATCTTCTTCTTGATTGGCGTAGTCGGATGTGCTATCAGTTTTATTCAATACAGTTTTCAATATTGACCAAAAGGATCAGTTTAGTTTGCCCAAAGATGCAGCAAGTGTGCTTTAAAATAAAGTGGAAGGGAGAAGTATGCAAATATCGATATATTGTAATTTTCATGACTATCAGAAATATTTTTTTTTATTTTAATACTTTTAGCATTTTGAAAATTTTCATTACTATTGTTGGAAAAAATTTCGTAATAGTCAACTTACCCAATGAGTTTGATTGAAATTAATACTTAAACAAGTTTGCAACTTTAACATAAAACGAATTTAAATTTTAAGTGCTCTTAAGCTTGCTTAGTTTAATGCCCATTAAGTTAAATATTTTTCAATTCATTCTATAATAGTTTTTTAGCAAATTGCAATCCTCAGGAAAGACATTTTCAAATAAGATTACTTAAGCCATTTGAAATTCGTTCAGATGTCGCAATAGCATTTTGTATTTTCAATAAATTCATATTTGCATTTTTAAACAATCTACTATAAATTTTTAATAATTTTATTATATCATTAATTTAATTAGTTTCATAATTTTAAAAAGGCGTTTCTTTAAAAAAATTTACGAAATATAAGTTTTTTCAAGCCTTTTCAAGTCGATGTTTGTTTTTTTTTTTTTAATTTTTTTATAAAACTGCAAAAGCCAAAGTATATTTATACGGTTCTTAAGACCACAAAATAATATCTATTAAATTTATATTAATTATTTTAAAGTCATTAGAATAAATAAATTACTTTTAGTAGGAACCTTCTAAAGTGGGCATTTTCCATATAAAATAATTTGGCAATGAAACTGTGCTATAAACAAAAGAAAAAATATGAAGAGAAAACGTTCTCATGCTAAACAAAAAATATATTTAGCAGAAGCTTAAATGCCGCAAAAGCCAACTAAGCATTGATATTGATAATGCAAATCTAGATAACATGTATGCTGATGAATGCCGCTTCAACAAAGAGTGGACTTCAATGAACTGACAATTCACGGTTACCGTGATAAGTCGGGAGACAGAAGAGAAGTGAATATCACGGCGCAAAAGATCAATAAAAGCACAACCAGAAAAGGAGAAACAACAAATTATAAACACTAAAGCAACTGAATTGCTAGCGAAAAATCACATGGTAATGCAACACATATAAATATATACTGTACCTATACGAAAATAAGTACGGCAGCATAACAACACATTGTTGCATAAATTGCCTAAAGCAAGCGGTTCTGACATTGATGATGGCCAACGTGCATTTACTACACAATTTGATTGCACCGCTTTCAAAGCACACACACACATATGCATACACAGCATATAATAATACTGTATAGTGCTGAACACATAGAAAACGATGCGGCATGGCAGCACGATAGTGAACTGTAAATGTCGTCGTGGATTCTCCTACATGAATATTTCTGAGAAGACAGCGACATAGCAATGGCCGACATGTGCACAAAACAACACAGCTGCCCATTTTGCATGCACACAATTTCGTTGCGACCATACTAATACCTTGCACTTCAATGAAATTTTAATATCTTGTGCAAAGTGAAATTTTGTATGCAAAAAATGAGTAAATAGGTAAATTTATTCGTTTTAAATCATCATCAATTGTTATTACAAATGACATAGCAGAGCTATTTATATAGTTTTATTTGTGAAACAACGTCATGCTTGTTAGAGCTTTGAATAATTTTACATTTTACATATTAGTGGCATCACTCCTCTCCACTGTCAACTGTACTGAATCTAATTCGGCTTTGTCGGCAAATCTAAATGTATTTTGCAGTTAGCAAGAGCGACAACTGACGGCCTGCAGTTGCCTAAATAACTGCGTCCTTATTATTCCTTATTGCTATTTTAATATTTGACAGATGTCGCTTGCAGTCTGTCGCGGTCTATGTGTTCAGCACTTATGTAAGTGTGTACGATTCGCTTCGCCTGATTAAAATAGTGGCTTTAGTTGCGCCGACGCCGACTCGAATTGAGTGCAACAGCAGCAACCTACACGCTTATGGTGATTTATAGCACAGCGCTCACAGACACTCACAAACACAAATTCAAATCTATGTTCGTATATGTACTCGTTGTCTGCTGCTTGTAGGCAACCCGTCTGCATGAGGCCGCACTTTTGTTCGCGGGCATCCGCTGTGGCAATTAGTGAACCATATCAGTGGTTAGTTTTGGTTAAAATGTCAAGTTCGGGTTTTCACTAGCACAAACAAAAAGCAAATATAAACAAATTGTGCTGGAAATAAAGAAACAACAACGTCATACAGATATAAAATGAGAAAATACACTCCCACATGGGAAGTTCGAGGCAAACGTGCGTTGATTTCTGCGGCCACGCTGAACTTTTTGAGTGGGCTTATGCAGATGAAATATGTATTTACACACGAATTGACAACGTGTACACAATCAGTTGCAACTGACTTAGATTTAGTGGTTTACTAATTAAAATTTCAAGGGTATCATATGCTTTAGTGGCCAAAACATTAAAATAAAAAATAAAAATATTATTTTGGTAGATTTGAGATTTGGTAAAATGTGATTATGTGAAAGCTGTTTTACTTAACATAGATAGAGGTTATATTGAAAGCTCTCGAACCTTTCAAATTGCTTTAAACCGCGAAGAATTTTCCGAAGTATACGATTATGATGATGATACTTTTTATAGAAAGAGAGAGCGGGCGGGATAGAGGGATAAAGAGAGCGAGAGGGAGAGTTAAAAAGTGAATGTGAGAAAGGTAATTTCAGTAATTACTACAGAAATTATTTCGAAAGGATTAATTTGAAAATAAAATATTTTTTAGATTACAAAATCGTGTTTCCGATAAAAGCAGCTTAAGAAAATAATTTTTACGGTGAGGTTAGAAAACTGGTAAAAAGTGTTGCCGGGTGTCAATTTGAGAACTAAAATGTGCCTCATGGTCATCAAAAATAAAAATCATTTACGAAAATAATACTTTTTAACACCGCAAAAATTTTAAACATTTAAAAAAATTTAAAATTTATGATAATTGAGGGTAAACCTTTTTATATGCAGATGAAAACATGGACTCTTATTTAGTTTAGCGCAGGTGATACCAGCTGCCAAAAAGGGAATTTCTTCAAGTAAATAGCGAAAAATAAACGATGTGAGTCCACTCATCATCAATAAAGGCTAGGTTTTTGAGAAATTTCAAACGTATGCACTTAAGCCTAAAATTGTCCTTCGAAATCTCAAGCCCACTTATAGCAAATAACTATATTATGTGAGAGTTTTTCGACCACTTCAGTCTTCGATTATTACAAAAATTTCACAAACTATGGACTTCTTACTACCTACCTTAAAAGGCAGTTGTATGTGCTTCTTAATTCAAATCAATCGACCCTGAAGATATGCCACTTTAGCACTCGAATGAAATTCCTTAACGAAAATCACTATAATTTTGCCACTTTACAACACTTATATTAAATTTCGCATATACGTAAGTATGTAGAAGACCTGTACTTAACGTAGAAGCACAATAACAATGCAGCGTGTAACAAAAGTATTGCTATTACTCACCTTTTGAGAGAAAGAAATCCTTGCAGTTGATTTAGAATTGTAATGCCATACAATCAGCAAAACAGCGAGATTGCGACAATGCGATGCAACAGGATGTGTGCGAGATGATCTTGCAAGCGGCCAAATATGGTGAGAAATGCGTGTACGCCGGCAGCGACAACAACAAGAACTGCATGAAAAACACAACAACAACAGAGAGTGCTCGCTGACTATTATATTTTTCTCTTCTTCTTATTGCTGCTGTTGTTTTTGTTGAAGTTTACTGTGTTGGCGATTTCTTCGTTTGGTTCTATTTTTGCAATTGCAATCAACAATCTCAAAAGCCGTGTAATCGTACTTACACACACATGTACAGATAAACATTTTATATTCACAATCACTCAGAAAATGTGCGCAAGCGTGCTGTGTTTTGTATGTTTGTCGGTAATTCGCCACTGATATGGCGGTGGTTGGAAATAAAAAGCGATAATTGCAAAATTGCATACAACTTCGCAGCGCTGCAGTTGATTTCAGTTTACAATTATTTTACTAATTTATGCGCCAGGGTTAACTTGCATTCTCTGCTGCTTTTTTAAATTTCCGTTGTTTTGTTTTCAATTTTCAATCTTGCATCCACATTTGTATAGATTTAATTTTAATTATTTTTTCATTGCAAATTAGCTCTTTCTATCTGTAATTAGAAAACAAACGATTTTTTAATCGAAATGTACTCTTTTCAATAAAATGATTCTATAAAATATACGATTTTTAATTACTAGTAAATGTGGTTTTTATTTAGCTTGGGATAGATACGAAGAGCTGAAGAGAAAACCGAGACAATTTTGCAGACAAAAAAAAATAAGAGTCCGTAATGCGTGAGTATGTTGAGCTTGATAAGCTGGCTGCCAGGAATAATGATCGAGAATTCTACGAAAAGACGCGGCGACTAACAGAAGTCTTCTAATACGCAGTATGCTCTTGTAGAGCCTACAGAGGTGATACAGTGACTAATGGCCAGAGCATACGTAAATTATGGAAGGAACACTCTTCAAACCTGCTGAATGACAGTGAAAGTACAACGCCAGGAGAAGGCTAACCTGATTTCCCAATCGATGACGATTTAGCAGACGTAACATTGTCTGACCATGAAGAAGTTCGAATAGCAATCACCCGTCTGAAGAGCAACAAAATGACGAGGATGGATTGCAGACCGAGCGTATTAAGTGAAAGTTTAAAGCCCACCGTCAACAAACTGATTGGACTTTATCAATGTGTCTATAGACCTGACCAAAGCCTTGGAAAAGACCGGTGAAAAGAGAATGGATTCCATGTATTTTGGAACCAACAACGACGACCACGACTAAGTAGGAAATTGAGAAGTAAAGTCCTCTCTCGACGAACAAAAACCAAACTTTAAAAGTCACTCATAATTCCCGTCCTGCTTTGTGGGGCAGAGGCTTGAACAATGACAGCAACTGATGAGTCGACGTTGCAAGTTTTCGAGAGAAAGATTCTGCGTTGGCCACGGCGAATATCGCATTCGATGGAACGATGAGCTGTACGAGATATATGACGACATTTACGAATATTTTTATATCTACAAGTTTTTCGAAGATAACTTTTTAATACTTGCTTATTATTATTATTAATATATTCGATGTTTACAGAGATCCAATGCGAAATGTGTGATAAAAAAAAATATTTTTTATTGGATACTCGAAAGCACTAGAAAGTTAGTAATGTAAAAATAGAAATGATTAATATCTTTTATTACTAATTATAGATACATGCACATATTTATATCATTCCTCTCACTAATTTTTATTGATATCCAAAACACTATGCTAATGACCACATATATGTTAGATATATTCATATGTATTTACAAAAACTCAAACATACCGGAATATGAACCTTGCTGATTTATTGCGTATTACTAAAAAGTGATAATTATTATTTCCCTTCGTTGTCTTCGCTTTCTTAGTTGTATCAGCCCACACAAAATTGTTAGCGCTAATGCAGATTTGTTGTAAAGCATATAGCGTCGAATTAAGAGCTAATACCGCTGCAGAAAAAAAATTTGGAACCAACATACTGCAACAAAAAGCTCATATTTTTTCACTTATGTGCACTCACAAGCATTCGGTTTACGATATAGTGAAATATGAGCCTTTTCAGTATGAGAACACATGCATTTTTATGCTTACGAATAACTCCCCGTCTGTACCTTTTTACAAATGTGCAAGCCCTCCTACGTTTTGTTTTCATTATTGCTTTCGTGCTTATGCGCTCAGCTAATTGTAATTTAAGCAGTGTTATTGTATTATAAGCTCAGATGAATGCTATTTGATGAACGTGGCACGTATAAAGCAAGCAGCTGCGCTGATAGCCGAAAGCATGAATTGTGAAAAGCTACTGCACTAAGCCGGATTTTTGTTTTAAAATTCAGCTTCATCAAGAAAATGTTTTTTTTTATATTTTTTTTTTTTTTTTGTTTCTTTAGACATAATATTTTGTTGTTCATGCGTACGTTTGCGAAGATTAATAGTTCTTATTTTGATTATGGTATAATATTTTTCTTACAACAGCCAGGAGACTTTCTCCATGCCTAATTTTTTCTCTATAAAAAAGCAATAAAATTAACTCACACGAATTGTAATTGCGAATTATGTAACTGATTATACTTTGTACGGTATAATAAAACAAATAAAAGCCAAAAAATTAACCGACAACAATTTAATGGTCATCGGTAGGAATCATTTGTCGCCTGCGAAACACGAAATCACCACACTTGAACAAAAATTGCCTTTCAAATTGATGACTGGCTGGTCTTGGCGGCACAAAAGCCACACCGAAATTGATTTCATTTGCATTTAATGTACACACGGACACATGTAACCATATTGACGGCCAATTATTATGCAGGCACAACGAAACGTCATTTGCATGCAATCGGTCACGGCATAAGGTGTTGCATAATTTTATTGTATTTTGCTTTTACCGCTTTATGATGCGCCGACGTGACAGCCTAGCATTTCTGATAGGGGACGCGCTTGAATTTGCATAAATATCGTTGTATTTGAATGAATGCATGTGTGCGTTACATCGGTGGCTTATCACCGCCCCTGACGGGCGCATATCTTTGCGTTGGATCAATAATGTCACTCGCTGATCCACCACCAACGCATAATTTTAGAGACTCGACCTACTCAAATGTTCTGCATCGCCAATAGCGCCATACATTAAATACATTTGTGAGTTATTGCGCATGCGCGTTTTCATCTGGATAAGCAATGCCATCATCGGCAAGTGAGTGAGTCAACCTATTTTATGCTTTATAAGGATCTGAGTTCGCAGAAGTGATAAATGTCTCGCCCGCCAAATATCGCTGCATTCTGTACTGTTATTGTTTTTTCATGTAGTTGCTTGCAGCTGCACCACTTTTGACATATTTGCCGTACCATTTTTGGCACTGACTTACAAGTGACAATGGAATTGTATGCAAAGCAATTGTCAATCAAGTAAATTTCAATTATTTTAGTTATATAAAAGGAACTTTTGCACTGAAATATACAGATATAAGCTTAATAATTATGTGCGTTGTGTGTATTTATATATATATGTATATATATGTAGGTTCCTTCCTTATGTTTTCTCTGCTTTATACTCCCATTGGTTTTGACATAGAATTTAATGTGAAAACTATGAGTATATTTCTCAAATTCTTATGGTGACTTGTGGTTAATATTTACAAACACAATAAATAAGTAAATGTTCTCGTTTTTATTAATATTCATTGAACTTTGTTATAAGATATATTAACAATCCTAACTTCATAATAATCGAGTTGACCAATTGATGGTTAAGCCTGTGATCAGCAGGCCTCCATTTGAATGATAAGCTCATGCACGTTTCATTGATGAAATGATCATTAGCGTTGACCAAAGATTTTTTACATGTCTGTCTCTAAGAACTTTGCGGAGTCAATTAGAAATTTATGCTTATTGTAACCGAAAGGTTTCCCGTTAATCATGTTATTGAAGGAATAACTAACAGAGCTAACTTATTATTTTTATTCGATGACGCAAGCAAATATCGGTCTTTTAAACCATCTTATAGTAGATTTTTGTTTTCTTTTTTTCGAGATTGCCAAGGATTTTAAACCGATTTTTATTATTTTTCAGAATCTTTTGTTAATATGTTTTTATAACTTCTTGAAAAAAAAATATATTTAAATGATTTAATGAATGATTAATGATGGATTTAATGATGGAATCATAATGAGGATTAGAATTATGTAAAGTAGTGTAACAGACTACTTCAAATAAGGAACTCGCGAACCTAAGATATATATAGACAAAATACTTAGTTGTCAAGAAATGGAAGACTAAACTTTGGTATAACACAAAACAAGTCAGTGAAATCAAATGAAATTTTAGTAACGTAGTAAACATCTCTTTTAAAAAACTTCTAATTCTAAGGAACTAATTTTGTAATAAATTTCACGCTAACTTTAGTAGTTTTAGAAGGGGAGACTTGAGTGCGTGAACCCACTAAATTTAACAAAGCGCCTAAATGTGTACAATGAAATATTAGAATTGGTTATTTTAGGTTTAAATTAAAAAGTTGACTACTTTTTGGACATCTACTAAGTAAATAATAAAATGAGGGTAAGTTGAATAAGAAACATTGATTGAAAGAAAGTAAAATAGTGTTAAGACTAGAATAGTAAAGATATTTGTGGAACAAATTCAATTTTTTCGTCATCTTGTTTAGTAACAAATTACTATAAACCTATAAAAAATTTAATAAAAAACCAATATACTTTCGTTTTATCAGTGCACCGTACGTGAACTTGGCACTGCTTTGCCTTCAATAAAAACAAAAATAACAACAACAGCAGCATATTGACAACACAATGTTGTAAAATTGCGAACACAAACTAAGTAATATTCTGGACAATGAAAATAAATTGTTGCTGCGATCGCCTCTGCGTTCGTCGCTTTTGCACATGCCAGTCTTTCAACTGGCTTCATTTTTCATGTTGCAAGCGAATGCTGTAACTGGATATGAAAGCAGGATTTTCTTTGATTACTTTTTTTATTTTTTTTTTTTCATTCGCGACGGATGAAAGTTAGTGATTTGGTTTCGTTTCGCTGAAAATGGCAGCGCTGTAATGAGGAACTTGATGGACTGAAAGTTTTCGTGGTGTAGTAGTAGTAACAAATGGAAACAGTGTGGGTTGTTTCGATGAAGACATTGTACTTGATCTTTGCAAAGTTATTATTTTTGCCTTGAACTTTTTTTACATTTTTTTCTCTGTAACCGCACGAGTATTGACTACTTCCATTTCAATTCAATACATTCCATACAAAGTAATATTGAAAATAAAATTTTTTCAAAAATGTTGTATTCATTTATCTGCGCCAAAGACTAAATCAACTAATTTGTTTTACAAAAATGTGAAAAAAATCTATGTAATACTAGCATCCGAAAATATTTGTGGTAAAAAAAAAAATATTTAGTAATAAATATATAATATTGAAACAAACCATATTTTGATATAATTGTGAGTACTAAATATACCCCATTTGCTTGATCTCTGATATAAAGAAAACACTACATAATATAAATCGGTTATGTTAAAAATTGCCTACATTTCGGCGCGTAATGGTAATAGAATTAAGGTTTAGCAAGT